CAATGGGAAACCAGGCCCACCGGTCCTCCACGAGAAGGGGCTACGCCAGGGCGATCCCGTCTCCCCCATGCTGTTCGTCTTGGTCATCGACACGCTAAACACCTTCATGCAGCACGCGTCAGCATGGGAGTTCTTCGTTGGCTTACCCCCAGGTGGATCGCCTCGAGCATTTCCCTATTCGCGGATGATGTTATCTTATTCTGCCACCCGGACGAGGACGAGCTGACCTCCGTCAAGGCCATCCTGCACGCCTTTGGGAAGGCATCCGGCCTTCACACCAACTACGCCAAATGCTCGGTCACCCCCATTCAGTGCTCTGATGAGGCTACGTCTGTGATGGGCGCTACCCTTGCATGCCAAGTATCCTCCTTCCCGGTCAAATGCCTCGGACTGCCGCTCTCAATCCGCAAGATCCACTCTTCGGCCCTCATGCCCTTGATCGACAACCTCGCTAGGAAGCTTTCCTCCTAGCGGGCCTCGCTTCTCTCCCGTGGCGAGAGACTGGCACTTGTTCGGCACGTCCTCACGGCGATGCCCGTTCACATCATGCTTGCCATGGCGCTTTGTCCCACCATCTTGAAGTTGGCGAACCGCATCATTCGGGATTTCTTCTGGCACGACAGGAAGGCCGCTAGGTCGGGCAGCTGCCCCGTCAACTGGCAAAAGGTGTGCCGGCCGTGGCAGCTTGGGGGCCTCAGCATCCGTGATCTGCAGCGCGCTGGCATTGCGCTACGTGCGCGCTGGCTATGGCTACAGGCCACCGACCCGACGAGACCTTGGAGCCACCTTCACCTGCCCGCAGCTTCTGATGTGAGACAGATCTTTCGCGCCTCGACTTCCTGGACACTAGGTGATGCCTTTTTGGATCGACCCCTGGCTCGACGGCTCCTCCATCGCCGAGATTGCCCCCGCCCTGGTCGCCCTTGTTCCTAAGCGACGCCGCTCCCGCCGGCTGGTTTTTGAGGCAATCCCTGACAGGGCCTGGATTGGCGACATCCATGGGGCCCTAGGAGTGGAATCTACCGTCCAATACGTGGATATCTGGCGGCGCCTCTCTGGCATCTCGCTGCAAAACTCACCGGATTCCATCCGTTGGAGATGGACCGAGAGCGGCACCTACACCGCCAAGTCTTGCTACCTCGCGCTCTTCCATGCTTCAATTGCTTCCCCGACTTGGAGCCTCATCTGGAAGCCCTGGGCGCCGGAGGGAATCAAGATCTTCCTCTGGCTTGCCGGCCTCGACCGTTGCTGGACCTCTGCTCAGCTTGCCCGCCATGGTTTACCCCACAACGCGACCTGCGCGCTTTGTGACCAAGACGTGGAGACGACACATCACCTACTCATGGGGTGCGTCGCAGCCCGCACGGTGTGGTATGATATCCTCTCCTGGTGCCGTCTCACTACGCCTCCTCCGGACGACACCATGGACTTCTATGAATGGTGGGTTTTGGCCCTCCATGACTCCTCGACTGGTGAGCGCAAAGGCCTTGCCTCCCTCGTCGCGCTAACCGCATGGAACATCTGGAGACATCGCAACGCGTGCATCTTCGACGGTGCAACCCCCTCCACCACCCTCCTCACCCATAGCATTAAGGAGGAAGCTCGCACTTGGGCCAACACCGGTGCTCGAGGGCTTAGTTCGATTATTGGTGTAAACTGACCTTGTTGTATGTAGGCTGAGCAACCCCCTTCCCTGCTCACTGCAACCTCATAAGCGCCTTTCAGTGTACGCTTAGTGAGGTTCGCCACTGTTTGTTCTACCCTTCTATCAATGGAATGATACGCTCCGCGCGTATTCGCGAAAAAAAAGAAACATTTGTGGTTCATCATGTAAGAACCATGAACAATCATATTATTATTTAACCTTTTTCCACTGTTTTAAATGACATTGCTTGTGCCTTGCAACAATGTATGACCCTTAATCAATTATTACCTCTGATAAAGTTTAAGCTCATTTACTATGTTCCTATTTTTCCTTTTTGTACCTTTTCCGTCTCTATCATGTTCATTTGTACAATGCTTAATCGCATCATAAGTCCTATAATATGAAGTTCATTAGAAAACAGAAACATCATAGAATATTTGACTCCATTTTTACTATACGCACAATAAATATTCCATAAGTTCTCTATGGAGAAGTTCACCTCGTTGATTGCCTTTGATGTGTGAATTTTGCTAATTATGAACAAGAAAATTCCTATGTACTATTATTTGTGTGTGCATGCTTACTAGTATGTGTTTGGATTAAAGATGGCCTTAAATGCATTGCGACAGTCAGACTCGACTGTCAAATTCGTGCACCCTAGATTTGGGCCAGACTTCCCTTGTTTTTGTGGGTGGGTAGGGTAAACATCTCGGAAGCTGGATCTCTTGATATCTTGTTCATCTTGTTCATTGAAAAAGAGGAGAAATTTGTGAGTGACGATCCGATCCGAGTCCAGGTCTCCCGCGGCTGGCTGATGGGCCCACGACCTGGCCGCCTTTTCACGCCACCACCGCTTGCGCGCATCCGCAGAATAAGCACACCCACGAGTCAACTACCCACCACCACCTGCTCGGAGGGGCCCCAAGCGTCATCTGTTGTTCCCACTGGCATGCGGGCCCATATCCCCACACGCACTCAGATACAAACAGCGGCGGAGGCGTGCAAGTGCAAAAACCCCGTCGCTCTCGACTCCCCTAGTAGGCCAACCCAGAGATTTTCCATATCCCCACACGTCTCGTCTCTCTCGTCTCGTTGGAAGCGAAGCGGAAGCGGGAGCCGAGGCCGAGGCGAGGCCCCTTCTCCACGCCCGAGGCCGAGGGGCCTAAGCTGCCTGGGCGCGATCTGCTCCCCCCCACACTCGTAAGGTCTGAGTCCCTCATCTCAGTGCGATTCCCCCTCCAGTTTGACCAGTCGGAGGTGGCTGATTTCATACCATAGATGCGCTAGTTGTTCTGCTGCAAGAAATCGGTGTTGTTTGTATGGACTCTGGAGTAGGATGATCTTGGCGGCGGGGAAGGGGGCACCAGGTTGCGCTAATCCATACTTCTCGTCAATGCTGGGTGGTCTGCGCGGTTGTGGTGGGGGTTAAATCGCGAGGTGCGTCGGTCTAGTTCTGGGTGGTTCCGGTTGCTTCACTTTTATTTTACTCGGTTCTGCTGTTATTAATTTTTGTTTTATTACGAACTGCTTCGACCCGGTGAGATGACTGAACTACGAGTAGTAATTAATTATCTAGTCGGCGGGGATGTTTGACCCCGTTCTATTGCTGCTGTTATATTATTATTATTACTGACGAGTTACCCGCTAGATTGCTACTCTGCACACTTAGGCAGTGCAGAGTCTGGAAACTGGGTATCCCATTGATCTGCGGCTGCGTGTGTTGTTTCCTAATTCATGATGTCGATAAATTGGTTGGTGGTTCAGCTTTTGACTGGTTGTTGGGAAGGGTAGGCGGACCTTATGCGAGTTTTTCATGCTATACATGCATCACATCGTGTCATGTAATTGGCAGTGTGTTCTCTAGTTTTTCTGTCACTCAATATACCCAAGGGCCAAGGAGAGCAGCCAGCATTGTCTTTCTCTTATGACCCTGCCCATTGGCCCAGGTTCGAGTCTCCCGTTCTATCCTAGTTTTGACTTGTGGACTATCTTAGTTTTGACTTGTGGACGGAATAACTCTTTATCTCCCCACACGTTAAAAGATCAAGCAGTCAAGCAAATACAGTTGCACTCCAGTCATTGTAGCAGGAAACACCTATCTCTCCTGTTCTACCCTTGCTATGCCCTCTAACATTTTGTCGTGATGTATCCCCAGAACTGTGTTCCCACTCCATGTACAAGAGTAAAAGGACTTAGCCCCTCAGTAAAAGCTACCATAACCTTGTCTGACCATGGCTGAACTGAAAGAGAGTTCTATTGATTCCTGGGTTGATTGCTTATGTCTGTTGGAATAGATCTTACATTAATTTCAGGGTTTAACTATGGTCTTCACAATTGGGGCAAATAGCCTAAAATTTTATTTTAAGCAAGTTATTTGGAATTCTGTGTCACATTGCTACTTTTCTCTGAGGAAAATTACATTCATATTTTGTTTTACTACGATGGAAATGATTTATTATTGACGATTTGGCTTCTTACCACCTTGTAGCTAAAACAGATTGGTTCCAATAATGATGATTGTTGTCAATTATTTATATGAAGTTCTGTATGAATATGTAGAAGATTTAGCAAGAGGGATGGCTTGTCGTTCACAGAGTAATTGAACGGTTGTATCTGTGTAAGGTTGAGTAGTTTTCCTTGGATTATTTGTTACCTCTACTGAATCAAAGGGAATGAAGGGCGGGCCTGGTGCAGTGGTAGAATCTGTCCACTTGTGGCCTGGAGGTCCTAGGTTCGAACCAACCTCCTAGCAGAATGTTATGCAAGGGTAAGGCTGTCTAGAAATTCCCTTCCCCAGGCCCCACCTTGTGTGGGAGCTTTCAGCACTGGGTATGCCCTACTGAATCAAAGGGAACATGACACTAAAAGGAAGAAATTTATTAATTCATTATTGCCATTTTTTCCACAATGGAGATGGGCATCTAAGACGTGCGACCTTCCATGGCGTAACTATTAGAAAAAGATCGGTTTCTTCTGATTTCCTGGGTGTTGTTCATGCCGTTGGTTTTTTCATGTCGTTGGTGCTATAAGTACAATTGCTGATACTTATAAGCTAAAAGTGCTCTTATCTTGCATGCCTTCCTTTGCCGTAAGTTCTCTCACTATATCTTAAGAGCAAATATTTGTGTGTTTATCTTACAATCGTTGTCAATCTGTATGGAAGGACCAGTATGCTCCGCAGCAAAGTTTTGCAGAAGACTAAAGAGAGCTTGAGCATATCGAAGAAGCACAAAAGAAGATTTACCCCTCAGTTTTTGAATCCTGAATTCTCTAGCTTGTAGAAGAAGAAAGCCGGAATTATAGATAAAGGACAGACCACAAGCAAGTTTCCCACCAAAATACAGTCTTTGGCAGTATGACTCCGAAAAATGTGATCCGTTTCATTTTGGTGCTGATCCATGTGAGCAGCTGTTTGGGTAGATCAGGGAAAATGTTTTCTCCTAGCTTTATCTCAGTGGCGAAGTCATTGTCAAGCTGGCCAATTTTCAGCGCAGGGATATCTGTAACTGTTGCACTTGTTCTGTCCTTGTTTCTAACTTTCGAGCATCTCTGCGCGTACCATCAACCTGAGGTAGCTTTCTATCAGAATTTCAGTTTTTGGTTTATTAGAAGAATATATTCTGATATGAAAGATTTCGTACCTCCCTGAGCTGCAATTGTTCGAAGTTTTCAACTATCTACCCTGTTCTTTTTGACTGCTGCACTTTCAATTTCAGTTGTCTACCTTTTGTCCATTGCAGGAGCAGAAGTTCTTGATTGGTCTCATTATGATGGTTCCAGTATATGCTGTTCAATCAGTAAGTAGACCTGTCTGTTCTTGTTTTCTGTTCCAGTTTTTTGTACAATGAGCTGCTATTGCACTTATTAGTTCAGTGTCGATGTCACATTGCTGATACTTGGAGTGAGCATATGAACAATCAATATTTTGGAAACTGACAGCATCAATGTTTGTGCTCACCATATCATGTTTGTGACCGTTTTCTAACGATTACTTTGCTAGTATAATTCTGTGATCATAATTCATGTGTATAATTTATAAACACATACCTGGTAGCATTGTTACATACTTCCACTATTTTTAAGTATGCCCTGTGAGTGTTTGTACTCTAGTAAGTCTAGATTATTCTTTTTATATTTAATATAACACCCTGTAATTCCATTTTAAAATGTGCTTATTGAGGATAAGTTATATTACTCTCTAGTGCTTTTGTTCCTTTCTTGTACGTACCTCCTTTTGGCTTTCACCAACTTATTTTTCTGTGTATATGGTGACTATGATTTTATTTCCTTCAATGCCAACAGATCTTTCTTATTTTTTTGTAGTTCTTCTCATTACTGAATTCAAAGGTTGCTTTCATCTGTGAGATGATGCGGGATTGTTATGAGGCATTCGCAATGTATTGCTTTGAGAGATATCTGATAGCATGCTTAGGTTGGTACTTTCTCCATTTGGATCCTTCCTATAAGAAATTGTCTTCTTTACCAATAGTTGGAAGTCAAATTGTACACGGTTGTGACTTTTAACCTGTTTTTTCAACTAACCTTTTAGTTATTGGATTGATTACTTAATTAATCTTATTTCGGATAATACATGGGTTTCTCTTTTTTTCTGGTAATGCAGAAATATCAATCCTCGAAAGAGGAATTTAATTATAAGAAAAGTTACAATTTGAGTTGGCATTGCCTTTCTGACTTTGGAGTTACATTTTCAGTTTTTAATCATAAGAATGTCGATGCTGATGAAGCACCTTATTCTGTTTGCTGCTTTAGTTTGGTCAGTGCATAAGACCTGTTATATTGGAGTGAGGGTCAATATGCCAAATACCTAGTTTTTTAGCCTACAGCTCTCAGGTTTCCTTATTTATTTTCTATACTGTTCATTTGATTTTATCTTTTATCATTTTAGGTGGGGAGGAAAGTACCATCAGATACATGGAGGATCAGTTTCAACCCAGTGATAGTTCTCCTTTGCTAGACGTTGATTATGATTATGGTATTGTGAAACATCCATTCCCATTGAACTGGTTTATGAGAAACTGGTACCTCGGTCCTGACTTTTATTATGCCGTGAAGATTGGCATTGTGCAATACGTATGTATTTTATGGTGACAAGCTTTTTACCTTAGTGCCTCTTTGCTTCATGTATGTAATTGCTCTGATGTAGTTTATGATTTTCTGTAGATGATACTCAAGCCTATTTGTGCTATCTTGGCAATTTTGCTAGAACTTCTGGGTATCTATGGAGAAGGAAAATTTGCATGGAGATATGGGTAGGAGTCGTTTCCTTTGCCTGTAGTTTTTCCTGAGCAATCTCTTGAATATTGGTCGCAAACTTAAAGATGCTCATTGTTTTATGCATAATTAATCCGATTCTGCATTGGGGAATGAGCAAATATTTCAAGTTTGGCGTTCTCAGTGTCAGTCAATCCCTTTGCAGGTACCCATATTTGGCTGTTGTCCTAAATTTCAGCCAGACATGGGCATTGTACTGTCTTGTACAGTTCTACACTGCTACCAAGGAGAAGCTGGAACCTATTAAGCCCCTGTCCAAGTTTCTAACTTTCAAATCTATTATATTTTTGACATGGTGGCAAGGTATTGCTGTTGCATTTCTGTTTTCAACTGGGCTTTTTAATGGACATCTGGCACAAAGTTTGCAAACACGTATCCAGGATTATATAATATGTCTGGAGGTATGTTTTATCCATTATGTTTCTTTTTACAGTTTCTAGTCTTGGGTTGATTCACTTGCTTTTACTTGTTTTCTCAGCAAGTCACCTCTATGCTTTATCTACCCTCATAGGAGCATGCAGAATACATGCAAAACATTTGTCCAACTGTTACATGCCTATGCTTCATTTTTTTCATTCACGTTGTAGTTTACTTTGGAAACAAGTTAGCTCTGATAGTTTGCACTATAGAAGTACAGGTCTGTTCATGCATATTAACCTCATAACCTCTTAACCTTCTGTAGTATGCATATTAGTGAATGATTTTACTGTAGATTGTTTCTGAGTTACATTTTTTATGTTACATGTTCACAAATGTGGAGGTTATTGTTATGGGAAGTTCCCATACCCCTTTTCCAATATTGGTTGGTTCATGTGTTGCTTTGAATTGTCTTGTACTATCACAAGTGTATATACAGTGCGCTTGTTGTACCAGTGATTTTATTTGCTTGCACATTTTTGGATTTACTGCAGACAACGATGCTACTCTGCTCTCTAATTGTTTAAGAAGAAGAGTCTCTGTTTAAGTTTATTCCCACAACGTTTTATGTCCCTTGCATGACAGATGGGGGTGGCGGCAGTGGTTCATATGAAAGTATTTCCAGCTAAGCCCTACAGGCGTGGCGAGAGAAGTGTTTATAATGCTGCTGTCATGTCTGATTATGCATCCCTGGGGGCTCCAGATCCTGAAGAAGAACAAGAGATTGATAATTTAACAATCATGGAAACCTCTCGCCCTGATTCCAGAGACAGGCGGTTGAGTTTTCCTCAGAGTGTTCGTGATGTTGTGTTAGGAAGTGGTGAAATTGTAAGTTTCTAATAGTGGTCAGTTTTCTGTACCTCCTTTATCATTCTCACACATTCGTCTGACTTGTGTTATGGTATCTTCTCAGATGGTCGATGATGTCAGATACACAGTCTCCCACGTCGTTGAGCCCATGGAAAGGAGTTTCACGAAGATAAATAAGACACTCCACCAAATATCTGAGAATGTGAAGCAGATTGAGAAGCAGAAGAGGAAGGCAAAGGACGACAGCCATCTTATTCCACTGGAATCATGGTCAGAGGAATTTTCAGAAGCTCAAGATCAGGTTCAAGGTGGTAGTTTTAGTGACAGTGGATTAGCTAGGAAAAGGTACAACAAATTTCGCAGACTCCGCAGGTGGTTCTAGCAGTCTGGTGGTGGGTTTTAACCACGGCGGCTAACCTTTACCCAGAAGTAGAAGTTTATACATCATTTAGGACACACTGAGGCAAAAGAAAGGCGATTCCGGTGACTAATAGTTGCAGGATGGCTTCGGAGCTTCCCTAGTTCCTTCTGTTTATGGCTGACCCTGGCTCAGTTTCAGGAGGTGCAGTTACATGGGTTTTTCTATGAGAGTGGCCTTGTTTGGTACAAGCAAAATAAAAAATAAAAAATTAGGCTCCGATAATTACTGATGTAACCACCCCCAAGCTTCTTTGGATTAACATACACTGAAGGGAGATATTTGTACGACTGGATGAGCATATTTCAATCAAATCCTTAAAGCACCTTTAGGCCCTGTTTGATAGCAAAGTATTTTCTAAGTATTTTGAGAATACTACAGTTTTTTAGATTACCACAGTTTTATTTACAATGAGCTGTTTGGTTGCCCCTAAAAATTGTGATTTTAATACTACAATATTTGCTAAAACACAGTTTTTTCTCTGTATTATAAAAAGAACCCAAAACCTCTTTTTTTTTAAATGAGCTGACGAAAAGAACGGAGTCGCACCTCGTTATCTTCTTCCCTGCTATTCTCAACTACTTGCCTCCCTCTACAAAAAAATATTCGCGTCCGTGGCATGCTGCCGTCACCGCCCTGTCGTCTTTGTAGATGCGACCGCGCGGCTCTCTTTCTTGTCAGCGCCGTTCGTGTTGGGATGGACAACTCGCCGCTGCTGCATGTAGGCCTCTCTCTGGCTGGCCATTGTCCCATATGCTACAGGTGCAGCTCCGTCGCACCTCCATGGTGACGCGAAAGAAGGCCAAGCAACCCGTCCTCGTGCAGCTCTGCCGCTTGGTTAGCCGTCGGCTACGCCATGCTACCGAGCTTCCTTTTTGGTCATGGTTGTTCAATGGAGTTCACTTAGTGCAAGCTTCTTTTCTTATGCATGCTGATGGTAACACGATGCTCTATCGCCGTGTGCATGGCATGGCCTTTCTTTGGCCTATCACTTTGCTGCATACAAAGCAAGTTAAACAGACGGGTTTGCACTGCTAACGCTGCAACTGATTTTAGGTCGCTGCGTCAAACAGGTCCTCTGTATCGTCAATACTACAAAATACTCTGTTTTGTCAAAACCATGGTATGTTATACCTACATGCTAAATTACTGTAGTTTATTGATACTTTGGTTTTTACAATACTTTACTATCAAACATAGCCTTAGTTTTGAAGTGATTCATGTTGTCATTTGACAGAGCACTCGCTAATTGTAGCAAGGTGTAAACTGTCCTTCTGATCCTGGATCTTAAAATTATTTTTTAACCAAATGCCCTCGCAATTGTGACTTTAAAGTTAAGAGAAACAATTCAGCGGCAGTTTTTATGATAATTCCTAAAAAAGAACTCGTTGACATGGTATTTGGTTTTCTTGAAGGATGCAAAAACATCGGATTTTCTTGAAGGATGCAAAAATACCATACCGACGTGCATATCCAACATATACTAGGTAGAACATACCATCAGGGATATTGATCTCATATTGTTGTCAAGAATGTTAGCATCATGACCTGATCATTCCCATCCAGCCAACACATGTGTGAACTTGAGATCGAAATCAATAGCAGCAAGCATATTGACTTGTGTAGTGCTTTCTACCTATGTATGTTACAGTTTGTGACATCGGCACTCTAGTGGTCACATGAGCATCGTCTATTGTGCTAATATAATCATGTGATGGCACAAAAAAAAGTTATAGCTCACAAGAACACAAGCATGTCCCGGAATGAACTAAGAGTATTGTTCCCTAGATGGATAACATCTAGGGATCGTGTGTATCTTCGAATGAGTTTGACCAGTAAGTTTGTTAGGGCATATTTCTCCCTTGGTGGCATTGGTGATTGATGGCAATGCTTTTGCGAACTAATCGTGTGCATTGAGCATTTAAGATAATCTATCAGATGGCAGAAGACGATTCTTGCCCCTTGGAGCTTTTGCGCAGACAATGTTTTTTCGTTTGTTTCATTTTCGGTGGACTTGAGTCGTAGGAACACCGTAAATTAAGAGAGGGGTCCGCTTTAAAAAGGTTTGGGTGGAATCATCACGCACACAGTCACTTTGCTCCCTGATGCGGAGCATCCCAAGGTCATCCCTATGGACCTACCTACGTCACCCACGACACCACTTGGACCAATGACAAAAGCGCGAGCAAAGGCTATCAAAGATAAGGTGAACTCGCTCCTTTCTGAACTACCACTTTCTATGCATGAGACATGGCTGCTACCTCAAGCGGAAACACTATGTGTGATCAGGTACTGTGATGGCCTGGCTTATTAGGGATGATAGACTACTCGTATCAATAAGGAATTCCTTCTTTTCCAGGAGCCCATTCGGACAAAACTCCAAAGTTAAGCGTGCTCAGCTTGGAGTAGTGTCGGGATGGGTGAGCGACTGGGAAGTTGCTCCCAGGTGCGCATGAGTGAGGACAAAGTGCGCATAAAAGACTAGTATTGATCTGTGGGGCCAGTCTAGATCCCGCCAGGAGTAACGACCACCGGCGGGTGTGTCCGGGGCGTTACAGGTACTTGGAGGAGAGCCATGGAGCAGCTACATCCATCGGAAAAGACGGCAAGGACACCAAGCATCAAGCTCAAGGAAATTTGGCCGAAGAAGACTATAGCGGCCGGACGTCCGACGACTCCTAGTCCACGGACGACTGTCCATCTTCGGACGACCGGCGCCCCTGCAACCGAGCCAAAACTACGGAAGTCCGAGGAAGACCGGACGACCGGCGACCAGAGCCCTACGGACGTCCGACGCCACGACAACCGAGCGTAATTTACAGAAGTCCGAAGATCTACGGACGTCCGGACTGTCCTGAGCCTCCGGATGTCCAATGCCCACTGGACGTCCGGCCCCTGCCTGTGTCCAGTTGCGGGCTGAGGCCCATGTACCCCATCACTTTACCCTCTTTTTGTACTACGACTATAAATAGACCCCCCCTCCTCCTAGCTAGGGCCAGCAAAGGATTGGCTCATTTTGTGTGAGATCTTTGCTCATCCACTTGGTTACCTTCTCCTCGGAGATCGCGCCTCCTCGGAGAAGATCCCCCAAGCGGATTCAAGACCCCTTCACGGGAAGAACCTCAAGACCTCCTCACGAAAAAGATCGTGCAACTTGTATCGTCCCTAGGTGACTATGGATAATGTATCTCTTATGTGTTTGAGGATCTAGCATATGTGTGACTACATCTTGTTGGTTTTAGTGTTTCTCTCGTGTTTCCCCTCGTGATTCCCCTCGTGTTCTTCGCCGGATCCGCTCCTTTCGTGAAAGATCGGCCATGTAGGGTTCGACCGTACATCATCTTGGTATTTAGAACCAGATTGATCACGATTTCGGAGCCTCCCCGTTGTGTTTTCTAGCCTTGTTTTGTTGATTTCGTCCTAAATTCAAAAATTCCCCACAAAAATAGCCCTAAATTTTTTTGGTCATTTATTGGTGTGATGAAATTTTGTTGGATTTGATCTGTGGATTTGCTTTGCCTTGAGTGGATCTACCTTTTCCCCTTCGTCTCCACCTTTTTCATCCACAAGATCGCCCGGATTCGACGGATTTTGACCTCCCCACGACGAACCCTACCTGTTCATCCCGTGTCCGAAATTCGCACAGGTACCGGACGTTCGACGACCGAACGACCGTAAAACCTCGGACGTCCGTAAAACCCTGACGAAACTGAATCCCCCCCCGAAAATTTTAGCCACCACCCCGCTTCCGCATACGCATCACCATACCACCACCACTTTCCGCAACCACCATTGCTTACCTGTTTCGCACTTCGATACGTTTTTTCCATATTGTGCTTTGAGAATTTGAGTTGCGGTTCTGTCCTATTGTGTTTCGGCTATTTAGGTACGGTTCGACATCAACATCACCGCCGCTCATCTTCGCCACGGACGCGTCATTGACAACGACCACTTCACCATTTTGACACCGTCAACCGATTCTTGCTTACAAACAACCAACATCAATCGGTAACCTCATCTTGGTATCGTGATACATCATTCTTGCCATTACATTGATAGCCATCATAGCCCAATTTTGCGTATCCTACCCATCGAGACTAGCCTTTGAGTATTGCCGGCAACGTGACTTGTGCACATTAGTGATCATACTTCCCATAGAATACATACATATAATTGGTGCATATCTTGGTATCATCTCTTGTGTCACAAGGTTGTCATCACATACACAATTGCTATCTTGATTCGTGAAGCATTGCACGAGAAAAGAGCTCAAAAGAAAAGAGCCAAAGAAGCTTTTAAGCAAAATGAAAAGATAAGCAAAGAGCTTTTAAGCAAGAACCATAGCATCATACAAAATTAAGATTGTCATACTAGATCATCTTGGCTCATATCATCGGAATACCATACATAGAGCATACTTGGGAGAGAAACCATTGCATTTTTGCTTAGTAGGTTGTGCACAAGTCTTCGTATCCACCTATTGTGCAATCGTGCTAGCGTCTCTCTAGTGTTGTGCAACAAGAGCATTTTCGTGGTTTCCACATTTTGGCTCATCCTTGGTTGCACGACCCCATTTATCTCTTTGCGTGTGTGTTTCTGTGTACCATATTTTGCTATTGGTCTACTTGTTGCATTGCAAACTTGCGAATCTTTTCCTACATTATTGAAGCTCATTAACAATTGCATCAAATTTTGTGCCACCATCCTAACCGAGTTCCACCATAAGCTTTTACTTGTGTAGGTGTGAGAAACCGACAAGAATTGGTACCAATTGTGCTATTTCCTTGTTCCACATTGGAGTGATCATTGATCCATCTTCAACTTCGGTCAAGGTACATTTGGTATTGTTCTTCTCCTTCTACCACTCACAAAATTGTTTGGAATGATGGATAGGCCAAGTACTTCTACCAACCCACTCTTCCTCGAGCAAGACGACGACATGTCTTCATATGTCACAAAGAGCC